TCAACTAGAATTGAGCGTCAAAGTTTAACATTCTTGATCATTCTATTTGAGAGTAGAATCTTGCTGTCAACTAGAATTGAGCGTCAAAGTTTAACATTCTTGATCATTCTATTTGTTGAATGACGCGTAATTCTGTCATTCAACCTTTTATTCTTTATAGTCATGAGCTACAAGTCATGCAGTTTCGAAAATAATAGTAATCTACCAAAGAACGTACATAGAGCGAAAGAACATCAACTTCTTTGAGCCCCTTTTGTGATGATCCTTCGTTCAATATTGGTTAGGTTGTCGACAGGTCCGAGTTAAAAGACAGCTCGATTTTATGGTGTCAGAATAATAATTAAAAGAAAATACATTACACTTGATGCTGTTCTTGTGTGGGCGCTGAGACATTGTTCAAACTATTAGTGCTCGCATAACTAACAGAAAGCTGGGAAATATTCGTTATACTCTGAATTTGCTCAGTTTTAATAGCTCCGTGTATGATGGCATTCCTGATACATTGGTTTATTTTACAGTGGTTGTGGGAAGAATTACCAGTTTAAAGGTAACTGAACAGTAATAATTTATATTAATTATTAATTACACATATATATACACACTATAGAATATATGCAGACTAGCTACGGAATTTGAAATAAAAAAGTTAAAACAGATTGATGATGTGAAACTTTATTCTAGTCAATTGAGTTTTAAATTGTTTGACCAAAGTCCAAGAAGGCAAGAATCAAGGAATACGACCTGGGGTTAGGAAGATAAAAGCACTGCTGGGAAGTCTATAGATAGGGGATGATATGACAAGATGAAGAGGAGAATGGAACATAGAGAGGGTCACAGGAGGAGCAATGGAGTCGAGAACCTGCTCATTTACAGGAAGTTTAAGAGTAATAGTCATTGTAAATATATATCTATATGTCCAGCTACCTAAATAATCTTTGTAAATATACAAACGGTTATCAGCAGTAAACTGACGTGCAGTAATAGTAAGTAAACACACAATATGACATAAAGTAATCTAGAATAAATTAATCAAAAGTTGATCTGAAGAGTACACGTGAAAGTATTGAACCTCGTATCCACATAACTTTGTCGTTGTTCCGTAATAGTGTATCTAAACTTTATTTTAAATATTTAGTAAGTCATCGTGGTCCTTTGTGTTTTTGTCAATGTGATCACCGAGTTATCTTAGTTTTTCTAAACATTATCTTATCACCAGTTCTACAAACATCATACATTAGTTGAAGATGAGATAAATTGTGGTGTTTTTAGCTCTCCACAAGAGAAACGAAACCCCATGAACAGCCCCACTTCATGTCATGTTGCCCGATTCTCTTCTGGTAATAAAAAAATATTAGAGGGTAAAGAATGATTTCTTAGTCTTTGCTATTTTCGCCGTAGACCAGTGGTCAGTTACTTACACAGAAAGCAACTTCGTGCTAAAAGTAACATAAACCAATACATCTTTATATTGTTTAAATTCAAAACATTCAATCATTTTTTATTTCATACGATATAATGCTGAATCATTTTTTGTGTAAACGATCTATTGTTTCTTAGTCTATATAAAAGATGTTTCAGGCGTTTATGTTGTAATAACATAGCCTTTTCATGATTTTCAAAAGTCAAGAAAATCAGTTATCATCCCACAGCTAAAGGTGGGTATGCATCAAGCAAGAAACAACAATACGAAGTTAGAAGTGACAAACGTAAAAAAAAAGATAAAATAGCAACGTCATTAATCTAAACTTCTTCTCAAAACCATCTCTTACGTTTTAACTTTCCCAATTTGCCATCTTTAATAAATCGTCTGTTTCTGTTAACTACAAAATCTACATCAAATCAAATTTTACGGATACAATCTAGATCTAATATAGACGTGTAGAACTGCAAATTGTGTTCATATGATAACGTACTCTAACTTATGATTTAATATGCTATAAAATAACAACAAGGCAAAAATACAACAATTCAGGTTTCTAAACACTGGGATGTTCCTTTATATTCGGAACAAATTATCCTACCATGAGGATGTACAGTAGTAGTTTGTTTTATCATTCTTCTTATCCACGTCAATAAGCTTATCTGTCACTCAGCAACTCAGTAGCTCAGCAAGCAGAAATTTGATCGTTCTATGAAAGAAAAAAGTTTTTGTCCTTCATTTAAGAATCAAAATTGTGTTGTTGTTTTCTTTAAGTAGATAGTTTTATACATTTCAAATCCGCGTTACTCTTAGCACTGCCCTGTTGCCGCCTGGAAGCCATTATTCAGAAGTTACGGCCTGACAAACACGAATTCGTTGTAGTGGTTCCATCGATTCTCTTCTGAATCCATCCCTGGCTTGAGTGGCTCGCCTGAGCCTCCACAGGCCGTTCCGGAACCTGCTGCTGCGACACAACGAAAGTTAGCTTCGTTGAGATTATCAAAAGCTTGCTCCAAGAAATTATGTTTCAGGAAAAACCGTGCCGTGTAACGGTCATTGTTACATCTATCAGGGTCTCGGCTCTCGTTCAGAGTTTCTCCAAATACTTCACGGCAAAGACCAACCTTGCCGCACACTAAAATACGAGTCAGCTTTCGGAATTTGACATCGGCCAATCCATCTCTTCCAAAGGCGAACGTCCCTCGGTAACTAACAGTAATGTATCCAGGAATGCCTGCGGAAGGAGAAATTGCCGTTGTGCTGAGGGGTACCGATAGTCGATGAGAATGGGAAGGAGGTGGAGGAAGGGCTTCAATACTGGCTACCATTGCTGGAAGATTGAAATATTCTGCTTCCTGCTTCAAGCGTTCGCGTTCATGGAAGTTTTCGGGAAGAATCAACTTCTGGTTGCGAAGATAATCTAGAATATAACGGAAAATCACGCCATCTCGGTCAATGAAGAATTTTCCCTTGGAATCTCGCATTACTGTTTTGCTGCCTTTACCTGTAAACATTTGTCCTAGTAGAGAAGTAGGTTCTTTGGTCAACGTATTCAGAGAGGTTGTGTAAAATACACCTCCTACATTTAGTTCCATGACAGACGGAAAGTTCGTTGAGCGCACCTCATGCAGTCCGCTGCGATTAGGTGTCAGTGACATGATATAAATACAGAGATGGTCAGGAAACGGATAAAACTCAGCCGGGTCGTGCAAGGTGAAAGGAAGGCTACTGAAAACTACGTCAACAAATAAATGCAAAACAAAATATTATGCTCCAATTCTACCCATATATAAACATTCCACTCCACATTCTTCAGGTTTGGGAAGAGACCAAAAACATCAGATTCAAACTCACAGTAAAGGTATAGAACGATGCATGATGAACTCTTGAATTGCAAAGTTTTCACAGCAGGCCAGATCTGTTACTGATCATCATGGCCAACTGTGCCTGTGTGACGTAAAATCGAGCCCTGCTACTTCTATTTGTATTCTACTGACACTGTAAATCAATAGACGAGAAGTCATGGCCGTAAAGGTGGCGTCATCTAGGTTTGAAAACGTGCAACAAAGTCTCACATAAAAAAATTAAAATATGTTATTTAGCACTGACATATGGGAAGATAAAAAAAATATATGCTGAATGATTTAGAAGTTATTATTTTTTTACACCCGCAATATTTTATGCTCTTTGCAAATATATATTAATTATAAGATAAATTAATTTTAAAAATAAAAATCAAGTTATTAATTATAAAATAAATAAAATGCTTCAAATATAATGAGGGGGTACCTATAGCTTGCTAAGAAGATGCTAATTAATTTGAATAAATTATTTAAAGAAACGTCCATAAACACTACTCAATAAAGAACTAGGTTGAGTGAGAGTTTTCATATTATATCACAGTTAATAAGGAACTGCTTATGCGCCAAGAAATACACATAAAATGTGTTTAAATATACAGCTGATATTATCATCACAAATTTACATTTTTTACTTCGACTACGTTTGTTTGCTTCGAGACCTTAGTGTAAAAGTTTTTTGTGTTTTGTTAGCTGAAGCCTTATATTTGTAGTTTTATGCTACGAGTCTCTTGAGTTATCCAAATGCTTTGTCATTTAATTAGTGACACGAATGAATGGATTAATGAAAGTCCCATTGTCCCTATCTATTATCTAGCGAAAGTCTTGGAAAAGTCAGCTACAAGTCACGTATCAATCAAATGTCGTATGCTAATTCTGAAATACAAATCAAGTCTCCTATTTAAAGAGGCAACTACCACTAATTAAAATGTTGACATTAAATGTCTATGATATTACCATATTTAACAACCAAAATGAACATCCAAACACTAAATCACAGGTTTCAAACTGGGAGAGCGAAGACAAGAACTTGCAGAGAAGAGAATCAAAAGTAACAACACTGTTAAAGTGATTGTAAGCATTTATGTAGAGCTTTGATTCAAATTCCTAGGTTATCCGCAGATATGCTAACAAAATGTGCTAAACAGAAAATGCTCTATGTCAGGTTTTATATGTATGTATAGGCCGGATTCTTTATAATCGGTGTCTGTGACTTGTTGGCGATAAATTTAAACAAAAAACAAACAGCACACAGTTTACTTGTTTTAAAATAATATATTAAAACAAATCAAACGTATATACAAATGTTCGTTACACAGTTAATCACCACAGTTGTATCCAGAGCTTTAACTAAGCGTCTCTTTTCGTTAAAGTCCACATAGGCGGGTTCATTTATTTTAGAATACAATTGACCGGACGAATTATTCTTTCATGCTCTGTTATTACAATACAAGCAGTGATAATTTGACTTACTGACGTTAAAGTACACTTGGTTACCACTGTTGCATCCAGAGCTTTGAATAATCGTCTCTTTCGTCAAAGTCCACGTAGGTTGGTTTAGTTACTTTAGAACCCAATTGACAAGACAAATTATATCTTCTCTGCTCTGTTATTACAATACAATCTGTGATTATTTCCCTTTAGAAATTGCTACTATACACTCTTTATGTCTAAACTCACAATCAGATCTAGATCTAAACTCACAGTCTAGATCTGCCTAAGTATATAACTTACTTAGCTTGAACTACATTTTGGACACATATTTATAGACTGACAGAGGCCTAGAACGTTTTATACACTACGAGATATTATGATGCAATAATACTCAATCAAAACAATCAGAAAAATTTAGAAGGTTCTAGTAACATGACGCAATAATACAACAAGCGCCAATTCACAACAATTGAACTACACAACTTATGATTCTTACACAGTTACGTAAACAAACCTGCGATAAACTATCGCTTCTAAACGTAACTAAATTTAACACTCGCATCGAACTTAAATTGAAACAATTGTGTATATCCAACACCCTAGAATTGAGTAAACGTTGTTTCACTTAAATCATTTATAACAAACTTGTTACAAGTTGGGGCATCTCGTTAACATTTCTAAATTGGTGTATGAGACACATCAGAGTTATTTTAAAATATTTTTTTACTCCCGTCTCTAATATGGAAAAGTGGGCATTCACTGTTCATACAGGTCAATTGGGATATTTGTATGAGATAATTTGATATTCATGATGATGAAATGAGAGAAATGAGTGGTTTTTATTGCCATAGCCAAAACAAAATGATTTGGTGATATTTTCTTAGTTAATCACTGTATTAAAAACAATGTTTATAATCACTGAAAACAATTATATGATATTAACAGTTTCAAAACATTTTGTAAGATATGGCTATTATTGAACTAAAAATAGTATTTATAATAACCGGTTATCATTGAAAGTATGAACCACGAAGGATTTAGGACAAGTTGTTTTTATCCTAAAATCTTTGGCTATAGAGCGAAAAATATAAAAGGAAACTATTATCATCTGGGACTATTAACATACAGAGTCACCGATACCTAGGATAAATGTACATATACAAGTATTATATTATATATTAGATGTCATAATCACTTCAGTGACACATAAAATTTAAAGTAGCTCAACTCCCTATATAACTATCATCAATTAAAATTAAAACCAGCAAATGAAATGGGATTAGGCGTTAAGAGGGAAAGATCAAGGACTCGATGATAATATACTATTCTTCAGCCACTAAGTAATCACTCAAATATTTTTATAGCTGCTGACTTTTTTTTATATGAGCCCAAATGTTTTCTCCAATAGCTAGCTTCTTTGTAATTTGACCTCAATTTTTTCTCTAGCTGCTGACTTTTTTTTTTTTGTAATGTGAGCCCAAATGTTTTCTCTAGTTGTTGGCTTCTTTGTAATGTGAGAGCAAATGCTCTCTAGTTGCTGACTTCTTTGTAATGTGAGCCAAATGTTTTCTCTAGTTGTTGGCTTCTTTGTAATGTGAGCCAAAATGTTCTCTCTAGTAACTGGCTTCTTTGTAATGTGAACCAAATGCTTTATCTAGTTGTAGGCTTCTTTGTAATGTGAGCCCAAATGTTTTATCTAGTTGTAGGCTTCTTTGTAATATGAGCCCAAATGTTTTCTCTAGTTTCTGTTTTTTTTTTGCAATGTGAGCCCAAATGTTTTCTCTAGCAGCTGGATTATTTTTAATGTGAGCCCAAATCATTTTTCTAGTTGTTGACTTCTTTGTAATGTGAGCCCAAATCTTTTCTATAGTACTGGCTTCTTTGTAATGTGAGCCCAAATCTTTCATCTAGTTGTTGGCTTCTTTGTAATGTGAGCTCAAATCATTTCTCTAGTTGCTAGCTTCTTTGTAATGTGAACCCAAATCATTTCTCTAGTTGCTAGCTTCTTTGTCATGTGAACCCAAATCTTTCATCTATTTGTTGGCTTCTTTGTCATGTGAACCCAAATCTTTTCTCTAGTTGCTAGCTTCTTTTTCACGTGAGCCCAAATCTTTTATCTAATAAGAATAGTTTAAAACTATATGTGATGCACTTATGATTATAATACTGAATATGTTTTATAGAATAACTGGATATTAAAGATACGTTATAAGGGATATGAAAATATTTTCAAGATATGTATTTATAAGCGTGTAAATGAGACTTGTAACCACTGGTTACCTTATTTGTAACTGTGTATAGCAAATTATTAGTCCAGGGAATAATTAAGCCTAACGTTTATTCGCATAAAAACTAAAATAATGTTTTGCAACATTAAAATGTCGTAATATGAATTTTTCTTTATAATATGATATTTTCGTTTTACAGCTGCAACAAAGAACAACATTAAGTTATCCAAAACGGTTAAACAATTCTCTTTGTTCTTCACGTGTCACTCTAGGATCGTGCCCATTAAGTACCTTGCCTGAGAACTTAAACATATGGACCTACTGTCGAATCAATACAATACAATTTCAAACGTTTGTTCAATCTTCAAAATTTTTTTCTATCGAAACATTGCATGCACAGGTATGCAGCACGCTTCTTAGAATAAAGTTATTTGCAGCTGCTATTTTACATTTTTTTACGCTACTATAGATTCACGCCTTATTTACAATAATTGGAACCGCTCCGTAATTTTACAATGAACAATTTAAAGCAGAAGTACTTAAAAATAGGTTTATACAAGTTGCCAAAAGAAAAACTTTTAAGTTCAAACCACATGACAGATTAACTATTCGTAATGAAAGCACAAAAGAAGGTTCGTTGAGAAGAAAGGCATTAATTTTAAACACGCCTTCAAAATTAAGGCAAGAGTATTGGTTAGAGACATACACAACATCCGTGGATCAGAAGAACTTATGTGGCGATGATGAGGATAAACCGGGATCTGGGACACGCTAGAGGATCCAGGGGGGTAGAGGAGGTGAAGCCCCAGGAAGCTTGCTGGTAATGGTGGCGGTTAAGGCATTTTAAACAGGGATCTGGGACACGCTAGAGGATCCAGGGGGGTAGAGGAGGTGAAGATCCAGGAAGCTTGCTGGTAATGGTGGCGGTTAAGGCATTTTAAACAGGGATCTGGGACACGTTCGAGGATCCAGCAGGGTAGAGGGGATAAAGCCCCAGGAAACTTGTAGGTTTTTAAAGTTTATGGAAGTGAAAAAACTACCTTCTTTTGGGCAAAATTACATATCTTTTTCAATTACAAACGAGGCTTGAAACACTGGTGAAAAACGTGGAATACAGATAATCACAGTCAAATGTGTAGTTTTAAATCTCCAGATTATTTAGCATGTTACTCAAGCATACAAGGGAAAACTCAAGCAGTAAGTATTATTCCATGATTGTTGAATTTTATTGGATACTTAAAACATGTAAGCGTATATGTTGTACGTGCCTTTGTAGAATGTTGTCCTTTTCATAATAATGAAAAATACTAACAAAGGCAATTTTAGATTCTGATACTTAGCATGAAGTACTTCCCCACGGATATAGTCAGCAGTAACAATACTAGAAAATCAGTAAGCATGTATGAAGGAATACT